TTTGTGTGTGAGGGGACGCGCGGGCGAGCGCAGCACGGATGGCGAGGCGAGGGAGAGGTGAAAAAAGGTACGCAGATCTGTAGCTGTAGGAATGGGGCGTGAGGGTTGGCAACGGGAGTGATGCTTGACTCAGAACCCATTGCCAGTGTAAACGTGGCGATTTGAGAGCAACCCATTTGACCTGCTGGATTGTCAAGACGACCGTCCTCTTTGAGTTGTTCTTGATAGGTGGCCCATTGGCGACATCCTGAGTTTTTAAGGTGGTCATTATGAAAAATCAAATTCATTATAACAGTTAGTCTTACGTTAAAACTGCATGCTACACCTCAGGTGACAGCTGAGGAAAGCAATTTATCAACGTTTTTATTAGCCGTTCAATGCGTGCATGATCGGCGATTCATCATTTAGAAGTCCTGGTGCAAGATTCTTCTGAATGAAAAAAGAAGGAGTTAAGGTTGTGCTTTAATCGTGAAAGTAAAGTAAGGCAGCAGATACAGAAGTCCAATTGAAAAATGAAGAAAGTGATACCAGTGGAAGCTTTTAAGCTTAGTGTTAATGGAAGTCATGAGATTGTACATCCGTCCATCCCAACGTGTCATGACCTGAACATTCTGCTGCACATGTCTATCTATTTAATCCCCTATCAATTTTGACATAGCAACTCGTTTCACAGAACATTTTAATGCAACAGTAAGAGCATTTATGGAGGATTTTTGTTCGCATGAAAAAAATAAATGTAAAATCCACCGTTTAGAGAACGATTCGGCAACCTTTAGTCAAAAAAGTCGCTGTAACTGTTTAAAGAAACTAAACTTAAGGTAAATTATTTCATCAAAGACGTGACCAATGCCACAAGGAGAATTATTTTCTGTCAGAATGAAATTACGTCACTTTCATCGGAAAATCTTCCCAATCTTTCGTAGGTATTGTTATTTGTAAAAAAAAGGCGTCGACTAACCTGATTGTATTAAGGGTAAGCATTGCGACCATTTTAACTCCTAAAATTCGTATTGTCGTGGTGTAACGTTTACTACTCTATGCAATTGTACCATTCTTAGTATTTTCAGCAGAAAGTTGGTTAGGCCAAAAGGACCATAATCCAGTTTCTAGTTCCACGTGAAAAAGGGAATCAACACACATCGGTGTTGGGTATACCAGATCAGCAAACGCGACTTTTTACCTCGAGTCAAGAGTTTGCAGGATGAAATGGCCGGCGTTCAACTGTTCCAAGTGTTGCTCACTATCGGTTGCGATGATGAAAATTTACAATTAAAGTAGAGAATTCTACTGTCTCATGCCACAAAATGCATGTTAAGATTGTTGGTGACAATGATTAAGTAGCAAGATTTAGCAAATGGTTTGATCTGTTTACTTAATTCAACGCTGTCACATTTCAGGTAGTTTCTTCCGAAAACGTCATCATACTTTTATTTGACCAAATTCATTTGAATGGTAAAAACGTTTCTTTAAAAATAAGATAACCAATGTATCATTCAATTCTTCGAAATGCATGGTAACAAAACCATATTAAACCGGGAGGACTGTTTGTTTTTACTTGGATAAAGTGCCACCTAGCGACATACAATCTGCATTTATTAATTCTAATGCATGACTACACAGTGAGAGGATGTCAAGGATTGGAACATGTGTGCATACACCCACATTGATAAACTGTTAGTACTTTAGTTGGATAGAAAACCGTAAGAACAAAACCCGCACAGTTTTCACGATTTA